TGTGTGTGTATTATATATATATGTGTGTGTGTGTGTGTGTGTGTGTGTGTGTATTATATATATATGTGTGTGTGTGTGTGTGTGTGTGTGTGTGTGTGTTTCTTGAGAGTTATATTGTTTTAGTAGAAGCGCTTGTACGTTCGGATATTTAAATTAATATCAACCGTGATTGTAGCTGCTCGTGATGTATCAAGCTGCTCGTAATCTGATTGGGACGAGGCCGTTACTTTTCTGACCAAATTCTTTACTCGTGTTTTCTTTTACATTGTGCAAATTCGAGTTGCAGGCGCTGGTGACAAAGAAAACTGGTTATGCCATGCACAGGTTTCCGTACTTTATACTTCTGGTAGTTTCCTTCGCATTTGTGCCGTTGTTCTTCGCTATGGTGCTATTTATTCAGTTCAAATCGGGAGGTTTTTCACAGCACACCAAAACCGCCTCGTTACACCTGAAATTCTGCGTTGTCGGAGCCCTGAATGCCTTGAACGGTATGAAATACTGAATTGGGCTGCTCTTCAGACCCTTTCACGCGAGAAGTTTGTACTTGGCATTACCAATCCGAATTTGCTGGCTTAGAGTCATGCAGTTGTATTCTATACAGCGACATGAGCGTCATGTTGTCATTAAAACTGTGCCAGTATTTCTACTAGGGATCAGTAGACTGTTCGTAAAGTAGCCTTCTGTTGTCAAATGTGGCGTCGTAGTTTCCGCCCTTAAGCATTTAGCCAGGACGATGATTCAGCATCAATTCTGACGTGTATTGACTTATTATGTCTCTGCAATCGCAGGTATGTGCGTCATATTCGCCAATCCGCACGTACCAGGCAGTCTGCAGCAGATTATGGTACAAGCAGTGATGCCCATAACCATGGGGATGTCCATCGTCATTCTGGGCTCCAAGTTCCATCGTTTGCAGCTGCTAGGCGCTCTGATGATCTGTATGGGAGTCATAATCGAGCTGTACCCTCTGTTCATCGGATCGAAAGGTCCGGGTGGGGGCCTCGAAATATCTCCTGGCGCTGTTGATGATGCTCAAATGCACTCGCACGAGCTTCTGACGAGCGGAACGCAAACGAGTACATATCCGTATGCCTACAGGTATACTAGCGGCAGTGCGATAGTAAGCACTGGTGCAAAAAATAACGCCCAACAAAGCCAACCCCCAGCGTATTTCTGGTCGATGGTATTTCTGCTGGGTCAGGTACCCATGGGCATGCAGAGTGTTTTTCAGGAGCTGGCCTTCTCGCAGGCGCACGTGAACGTCGTGTACATGATGGCCTGGTCATCACTGGCCCAGTTTCTGTCTTTGTGTGTGCTGAGCGTGTTTAATTTCATCCCAAAGTTTGGGGCTGTGGCGCCCGGTGATTTTGGAGAGTACATGAAAGAGTCACTTCAGTGTGCCCGGGGATATGGAGACGGATGCGAGCAAGCTCCTGTGCTGTTGACGTGCTTCGTGATGATTATGCTCACCGCCCAGATAGTGCAGGTAAATATGGACTGTAAAGTTGTATGTATCTTTTGAAAGTTTGGAGCTCGTGTGTAGTTGCAAATATATTTGGTTAGCGATGTATGGATTTTATTGCAGCAGCATGCAATGCATCGTTCAAAGTCAGCAGGGTGAGTATTTAGAGCTACACACTTTGTCATGAGGCATATCTAGGATGGTCAGTTGCGAATGCGGAACCATACTAGATTTTAAGATGATCATGGCACAGCTATCAAACGCTCTCATTGTCATCTTTCGTTTCCGTTCGTCTGGACCGACTAGACTAACACTTTCACATATTTAAGTAGTTTGCTTCACACTTAAATCCATCGCCCTGATACTGTCTTGCCATACAAATGCTATCCTCAGGCACTCCTGGTCAAGAAGTCAAGTGCGGCGTTAGTGGTTATAGTCCTTACCGTCATCACACCCCTATCGACGGTGTGTTTCTCGATACCATATTTAATGGGCGAGCACACCGAGGCCTTGAAAATTAGCACCTGTGTGGCACTTGTTGTGTTGACTGTGGGTGTTATTATCTACCGAGTGCCCGATGCGCTAGTACTGAAAGAGGGCCGGAAGTGCGAGGCTGACGAGAGGTAAGTGCATGCTGGTTGTAAGATATCCACGCTGTCTGCCACGTGCAGAAAGTACTTGGTTTTATGCGTTTGATGCATAGATAGTCAGCAACGAGTTCACAATGAAAGCCAGCTTCACACTGCTCTTTACTTCGGTGCAGGATGGTAAAATATTCATTTGCGAAGTTTCACATTCCTGCAACCTTTAGTACTTGAGAAAATTGCTAGTAACTTTTAAATTCTGCATTTTCAGCAGCTTCACGGATAGCGACGGGCTGCATACGCAACGTAGGGAGACTGAACCATTACTCACCCGTAAGAAGTAAGTCATCAGGTTCGATCGCTGATTTATCTACGTAGACAGCAATTTTCTTTTCTGTCATGCGGATTCACTCCGCCATTCTTGTTATCGGAAGCTCATTTGTTTCATTTCTGCTCACTCATGATAGATCGAGGACAGCCACGACTGATAGTGATAGGCATCCGGTGATGCTCAATTCAAGAATTGGAGTCATCTCTTCGGAATACACGGGCGAGGCTGACATATCCGATGGCATCAAGACCATTCTGTACAGCCACACACATCTCACGGAAGGGGATGCGAACGCGCACCCAACGCACACGCACGCACACACGCATACGATGTCCCATTCATACTCAAATGTAGATGCTTGACCTTTCGGTGACTGCGGACCTTCTCATAAAACGCCGAGCTCCTTGAACGTGGAAGTGGATTAGAATCCCCGCAGTGGGTGCGCGAGTGAGTTCATATTATGAACACGTGTGTACAGGTAAAGCGAGCTCTTCTTACTGGATTTTGTTTTTCCAGCACATGCGGTGTCGTACCGTGATCACCGTTATGTATGACCCGATAACACGTGTAGTTATAGACAGCCGGTGGATCGTGCGAATGCTACGGTGAATCTGCAGCGGTAGTAGGTCTTAGCAGTAGGTCTTAGCTGATGCAATCATGTCCGACTATTGTCATCGCTTGCTATTTCTACCCGCGTTGCTGGGCTGAATCGCAAGTCGGCATGAGACAAGCCATGAACAGCGAAGGGAAGAACGAGGATCTAGGAGCTGACCTGTGGCATGGTACGCCTCCTTACGGGTGTTAAGTGAACATCCGAAAATTGACACAAGACTGGAAAGCTCTCTGCTGGTGTTCGACAACTTAATAACGGGCTAAGCGTAGAATAGCCAGAGGCCTGTTCCCATTGATGGGTTGGGCGTGGAACGGGTGTGATAGCTGTCGACGGTGCATTATGGACATTCGATTCGTGGTGGAGACCTAAGACAGTGGTGTTGTCAGTCAATCTGTTCATGCAGACACCCATTTACTTGTATGTCGAGGTATGCACTTTCACAGAGTCAAAAGAAACGCACGACGAATGGACGGTCTATATCAGAAAAGTACGGACTGAGATGGTAGTGCCTAGTTATATATGCCTGACGCCATTATTGAAAGGAAGAGTACAGAATCCGAACCACTACCTTATCTAAGTTTCAGTCGAGTGGAATTTGGAAGCTGACAAAAGTATATGTTTGAAATTTTCACGGCATCACCAATCAACTATTTAGCAGAATGGTCATCGACTACGGAATGAAAATCAACAATCCACTGTGAATGTTGGCATGGTGTACGATCGTCGCTAAACAACTGCTATATCTCAACCGCTAGATGCCAAGAGCTATGCATACCACCGCAAAAATTTCGAAGTGATTTAAGATGTAGTGTCATGCCGGCCGATGCATTAGAAGGCGGTGACCGTGTATAGTCGAGGGTTGAAGTCCTGCTTAAATTAGATTTAGAAACTAAAACCTAGATTATGTGTAGCACAAATCAGGAGGTGAGCATTTTGCAAACTCACTTGATACAATCTGCTGACACAGTTCTAAATAGCTGTCAGCCGTAGTCGCATGGGCTGCACCATCCACAACTCCATATGGGTCGGTCCTATTAGAACCATCTTCATCGTACCTCGAGAGATGCCAAACAGTTTATAGACAGGAACGAGATCACCTACAACTTGTTAGGTACGAAGGTGTACCCGCCAGAACAAATGAACGTTTTATACATGTATATTGCGCAGAAGTTCACGATTATGACAGTATTTTCCAATGGCGTCGGAACCAGCACTTCCTTCCCCTATTTCAACTTGGCATATATTGCACCTGAAATATCAACGCAAGGAAGACGCGCCGCATTAATATCTATGATTTATAGTATATACGTTGCGTGAGTAAGCAGAGTGTAAAAAGTAGGCGTATCTATTGAATTCCACCCGAATCTAAAAGTACAGCCTCATTTACCCTCAGAAAAAGAGATAGTGTGTTGTTGGGAATGACCGAAAACTTTCATACACTCCTACCTTGCCTTATATGCGCAATTTCTTGATGATATAAATTTTCAAATTTGTGTTTTCAAATATATCTGAGATATGAGAGCTATGTCTAATTGTATTGAAGCCGATGGTTGTGGTTGCTCCGTCTATAACGATCCTGGTACGATCCTGGTGCAAGTTAGGCTACCTAGCGAAACAAATTATAATTGCCGTAGCGGAAATTCTCAACAAGGTTCAACTTTAACAATCAAAAGTCCCTTGTCCACAATAGTTGGGTTTCCTTACTCTAATTAGGCTGTCTTCCTCATAGAATGTCTTTTCCACTTGCATAATACTAAACCTCAACTCGAGCCGACTGGAAGTTTTCTAACAAATAGTATTGCATATGTGAGAACGGCGTTATCATTCCCAGCAAAGGTGTCTATGCTGGTATTTGAGGTATATATGCTTTGTTGTCATGAGTATTGCACAGGCCTTGCCTGTTTAAACTATATGTATAAATAATCTTTGTATAGCATACTTTATGTATCCGTCTAGTACTTATGTATGAATCCGTCTAGTACGTATGTATGTATCCGTCTAGTACGTATGTATATCTCATAAAGCCTTGATTTCATTTTGGGGAAACCTAGTCAGAGTTTGGAGTGGAAATCTGAACGGCCTCGCAGGCTAAAAATCGAGAGACTGGTCAATCAGAGACAGAAGGCTTTTTTGCTGCCAAACTCATGGGTACAAAGAAGGCCACTCGACGAGAGCCTCGACCGACTACCCACTCTTCTGCTATTTTGCTCGCCTATAGCCAAAAATGTGATGCCTGTTTCTCCTACTGTCCCAGGTGCGGACGAGTCAGAGATCGCGCTCGACGGATATGGTTTGCTGTTAAAAGGGACTTTATTAAACATTGTTCGCAATGGGCTACGCAATGGTTTTACGAGAAAACACAGTGGCAAAATTACGATACAACAATCACAAAACCGAGTTGAGAATCCGTGTGGTCTCGAACGGTGTATAAAAATTGATTTACGTAAATAAACGCTGATCGGCCCGTTTAAGGTTGCCAAGGTTAATTTCCACCATTTTAGGATATCCCACTAATAAGTTAGCTCATCTCAACTGAGCCGTGCAGACGAATTCATCAACAACAAAATTACCCGCGCCTGGAGAAATTTGTATCCTTCTGTTTCAGTTATTGCACGAGCCTGCGACGGGTTTTACACCGTGTCAGAGAATGCCCGTCTCGTACCTATCCACAAAAGTGATTACATGCCTTTAATAAGCTTCGTATGGGGCGGATATCCCACTAATAAGTTAGCTCATCTATAAGTTAGCTTATCTAATTTTAGGATATCCCACTAATAAGTTAGCTCATCTCAACTGAGCTGTGCAGACGAATTCATCGTCAACAAAATTACCCGCGCCTGGGAGAAATTTGTATCCTTATGTTTCAGTTATTGCACGAGCCTGCGACGGGTTTTACACCGTGTCAGAGAATGCCCGTCTCGTACCTTTCCACAAAAGTGATTACATGCCTTTAATAAGCTTCGTATGGGACGGTAATCTGTACATTGAGTAGCTATCTTGCTATCTATGAGAAACTAGCTGACGTACTCGATCGGCCATACATTGAGGGTGGCACTCATGAAAAAAAAATCGGTCGGGTTGATGAGGTTGTTTTTCTGCACCAACTTGTCTTCTATGAGGCACAGAGCGCAGTGATCTGCCACATCTTCAAATATTTTAGGATTCCAAGATCGTAAATCAACATGTTGTTGGTCAGTTGGTTGTAGAATGGGTAAGAGTGGTGATGAATCTTGATCTTATAGCTAGGAGTATCACCAAGGTGAAGCAAGAGAATCTCTTGACGTTGCTTCACACATTCTTTACAACCACTACAGGATAAGTCTGACAAAGAAGAAAACATGGTATACTATGATTTTATCTCAAACCAGGCCGTATGTGCAGCGACTCTTTTGGCTCCTTTCTCATGGTGACAAGCTGCAAAAGCACAAGTACAAGCGAACCCCTCAAGCGGTAAAAAAGGACACTAAATCGCATATTTGTATCAAATTAAATTGATCATCTGGTACAACTCTGATCCTTCGCCCAGATTGGCAGGTGTAACAACTGCTATTGATGCGTCAATAGCAATTGATGAAGGAGGCTGATATTCAAGTGGGCGCTCACATAATCGTATCGTACTCTGTTTGTGCGCTTGAGCTTATGATGATAGTTTCCACGGTCGCTTTCTGTGCTACAGTGTTTGCAGGCCATACGAAGGTTTCCGATTCACCCGATGCTGCTACTTGGGCTCTTGAATCATATGGAGGCGATGCGAAGAAAAAAAGTAGTCTCCGAACACCGCCAGCCGTCAAGGTATGCACAACACGTCAACTTTTACTTTATTGATTACTAGCCATAGCCCGTAAGTAACGGCTGTTCCGCACAGTATTTTTGTGTATATACTGTTTCAAAGTATAGGATATCACATTATCAGAATTAGTGGCTTTTGGTAAGTGACCAAAAATATTTCCCGAACTGAACGTCTGCATATCACAAAAAAAAACATCGCACGGAAAGAGGAACACAGTGGTCCGAAAGTGATGCAGTATTCGCTCGGTGAGTTTTCATAACCTTGACATATTATTTGTTAATGTCTACGCTAGGCAAGTCTACTGGAAGGACTAACGTGTGGGTTAGACGAAGTACTGCTTTTCTCATGAGGTAGTAATTAATGCAGCGTATTGAGCGTCTAAAGGATGCTACATAACAATTGTACCACTTTGTTAGGAATCAGTGAGTACACACTTCCGTCAAGTAACCCACTCTGCTGTGCTGGGTCGTTGTGAGAATCTTCTCCTCATGCACTCCACTCTGAGGGGCTGTTGTAAATGAAACACTCCAAATACGTATACCACACTGTTCACGGTGTGAATCGCGTGCATATATTTCGTTCTCGCATTTTCGTTTCTTGATTGGCTTATATATAGCCGAATTAGGAGCCTTCTTCATCCTGGGAACAATGTCAAATCGGGATACAGAAACCACAACAGAATCTGTGAGGTTTGTACGGTATAGGTCACAATCATGCGTTCGGGTTGAACAACCAAAATAATTTCACATGATACATCTCACACTGTCTGATGCTTTTTGCATTCTTCTCATTTTAGAATTTGATCGCATATCACCTCTCCGAAATCTGGTTGCTTTCTGATGGGTCAAGTGAGTGCTTTCAGTTGCAGTGTGCCCCATCGAAATACCGCGCCTTGCTTGGAAAAGAGTATATAGTAGAGCTGCGATAGCCGACATGCTCGGGACGTATTGTCCCCACTATGATAGAGCTGCCAAGGGGGATATGATCTTCGACATTATATTAATACAAGGATCGAGCTAGAGTTTGACGTTTCTTGGCATCTTTGTAGTTTATTTTTATTTATTTTTGCAAGAACATCATGATGTGTTGTCTTTGAAGTGTTTTGCGTTCAAGTTATTGAAGAGAGAAACATCGGACTCTTTAACTCTGATAAGAATAGGTCTTTTGGACTACTGGGGTACCCTGATATGGAAAGATATATATTTCTCTATTTAAATATAGACTCGCTTTGTGTCATACTTACAAGTTCTGTGAGCCATGAATCTGACTCATGTAACGGACAAAACACTGTTATGGTAGTCCTGTGTAGTTATATGAAATTATTGAAGAGTCGAACAATAAGTTGCCAAGGTGGGTTACCTCACTGTAGTTTTGTATTTTAAGAGTTATATTTGAAAGACACCTAAAGGATGATTTGATGTTCTTCAAATTTTTGTACAGTTGTACATTATCACGTGATATAAAAATATTGTAAATGATCGCAAATATCTTTTGCGCTAGCTTAACTCATCTTGGATTATATTTCCAATCGGTGGCTAAGATACCTTTAATTGATGACTTCCTGTTAGTTTTAAATACTGCACTAAACATCTATATGCTATATACTGTAACATCTTTTATTTGCCAGTAGTGCTAGGTTGACTATATTTGTTGCTAGCTATTTCATATCACCCCATCCGCTAACATCTTCTCGATTTGTTCGTTTACTACAGTGTACTAGATTTATTTTCTTACATGCAAAGTCAGGCATCGATACCTTGACTGTGCTAGATGGTGGCATATATGGATTCAACAATATTAGAAAGTTTTGTAACGGTAATTCCTGTTAAGTTTAGGGGCTAGGGTAGCGACTATAATGTCGTTGTTCTGTGCCATCTTAACTACCACTGGCTGATTGGTATTTGCTCAATCGTCGGCCGATGCGAATTTAATGTCCATTGCCATGGTGTCACTCTCGGAAATCTCTGGTCTGCTAGCAAAAGGTAAGTCGTCTGTGTTCCACGTTCGATGTTTTCCACTGAAATAAGCTAATCAGATACCTCTGAATCTAAATCGAATCAATATCAGAGCTATATTACATTGCAGTATACAAATAATATGACAATACACTCACCTGAGTTGTTATATTGTTTCTGAAGGGATTGAATCCAGTATTAAAATTTTCATGCCAATTTGATACGAGGCTTGCTGTCACAGGCGTTGACCTCATTAAAAAAGTGTGCGCAAGCTGGAGCGTATTTACGACTCCAGTGTCCGTTATGTACAAGCTGGTATATCTCGTAGTAGCACTTATCATCGGCACACATCTTAAGGGACTACAGGTCTCGGAGAGACTACAGGTCGCAAACCAGATTTTACAGCAAGAAGTACTTTTTGATTTCTAGAAATCATCAGAGTTAGCTCACTTCCGGGAGCTAATCAAGTTGCTTAACTTACTCTCGAGAGTTGAGTTGATACTTAACCGACTCCCGAGAGTTGATGAAGTTTGTCAACCGCCTCCCGAGGGTCATTTAAGTTTATCAACCGCAACATTCTATATATATAAATAGCTGCATCCCTATGCGAGTCACAACCTATGCGGAAAGGCATCATGTGATCAACGTGAGATTTAGTTATAGAGAAGTCGAAATAGAATAGCATTAAAGTCTACTACATTACGCTCTAACACTTCATATTTTGCTCATAAGAGGCCTCCTTTTCTTCACAAGTTCTTAACTCATCATGATGGTAGTGTTACGTCACGCGAGCGTTCATTAATCTCGAGAACTTTTACCTTTCCATTAGAGGTTACGCGTGCTTCTGAAAAGATCACCATGTTGCTGATCGTGTTGATGATTACGGTTTAGTCTGACCAGATAAAAACTTCTTCCGATTTGTTCGCATGGCTCATTGAAGTATTTTTATTTCAGTTATATCTGCACTTTTTTGCGATGATCGTTGCTATACACATATGTTTCTGTGACCAAAAACCCTACAACACGAGGATAGATAGCAACCAATATCACTTGGAGTTATTACCCATAGTGACATGAAGTTTCACCAGGTCGGAGTCAAGTTATTTAAGATATAGCTTGGGTATTCACTTCTGTTTGATAGTTATTAGCCATCGTGTGCGATTTCCTTCTTTGCAGTCAGCTCATCAACAGATGCATTAAGGGCATCTATATCAGAAGGTACATCTCGATTTGAAATACCGGGTTCCTGACACTGTAGAAGCACATGTTTACATAGATCTCAAAATCTGGAATGCGTACAAAGCGTGAAGGATGTATAGTGCCGATCAAAGCATTCCAAATTTTGGAAATCGGGAGACACTATGCTATACATTAAATTTGAGAACTCTATCCTCGACGGTATTACAGTGTGCTTCTTTCAATATAATAGTTTTCCACCAATATTAAATATATATTTACAACACGGGCCAGGTCAGAAACCAAATGATATATAGTCAAGTACTCACACACAGAGTAAGACAATCTACTATGAAATAGGACATGTCGAGCTCTCCTGGAAAGTCAACTAGATGTTCCCGACTATGACTTAAATAGGGTGGAGAACTAGGTACCACGTTGTGGTATCATGGGCGCAGTGTAATCACTGAACCAGCTTGGTGTTTTGATATAATAAGTTGGGTTTGCATCCATTTAATGGCGCCGAGTACTTCTATGGCTGGGCGACATACTTGAAGCATGAACGCAGCCAATCGATGTCGCTTCAATCTATAGACCAAGAGTGTATCAGTCTAAAGTTTTCATATCTTTTAGCACTCTACCGAGGTCTGAAGCAAAACATAATTATTTCTCATACATAAGGTTGTTCATGTGCACTTCCTTCTTAGTCTAGACGCGCATATTCAACTTCTTTGGTATGTATAGCTTTGGTATCTTTGCATTCATGACCAAAGTTGAGTGTTGAATTTTCACGACGTTCTGCTGAAGATGTTGGTGATTGAACATCATCTCCATCCACAACATATATCTTCTCGGTAGACGCCACTTCAAAAGAGATAGTATTTTCACGAAACTGGAGAGAGAGAGAGAGAGAGACCTAAAACCCAGAAACTTGATTACCTCTCAGGAGTGAGCTAACTCTGAAATAAATTCTATATATCACGAGGGTTTCTTGCTGTAAAATCTGACCTGAGACCTGTAGTCTCTCAGACGCCACATGTGGTCTGAATACACCAGGTAGGGTTAAACTTATATTTATTAGAGTTTATTAAAGTTTATCAGAAGGATCTGATAAACTTAGTTTTTGCCGATTAATAGAATCAGCACATGACTCATCAATTAGAAGTCAGCGATTTATAAATCGGAACATGACTCATTAATTAGAGGAGTCATGATTTTTACGATTACTAATAAAAGAACAACGTCTCCCTCTCTATGGGGGTAGAACGTTGAGATACAGTTATCTTAGCGTGCACTTACGACATTTTTAACTTACCATAGATGTTGTTAGTTTTTTTAGCAAAGATAGACGGTAGCTAGTAGATTTTTTTTTGTTAAGGAATGTCGCAACAAAATGACGAGATCTTCCAAAATTTGCCTAACGAAGAGGAGGATAGCGGGTTCACAAGTAGTGATGCCAGCGCTACGATGCCTTCATTAATGTCAAACAGAAGCAGTGAAGCGGAGGAAGAATCGAGACCGGATGGCCACATGAATGCTCCGGGGAACCACCCACGAGTGCTGAGGTGAATGAAAGCAGGTTCAGAATTAACAGTAACGTCACGGCTCGACATCTTGAACGATTTAGATTATCTGGCCGGCTCCCAGCGGCGTTTGGACAACGAGTACAAAGGCAGAAACTGTTCCTACAGTCGAATCCGTGGAGGAAACCTCTCAGTCAAGTACATCAATGGCAAAAGAACGACAAGGACGGGCCCAGAATGATCAAATGACGAAGACAGAGAACCAGCCAGAAAACTCAGATAAGTAGTTACATATTAGGAAAGGCAAATAAGGTTGAATGGGTGTGATGCATGAGTAGAATTTTGCAATGAAGTAACAAGCTTAAACCCTAGTTGAGAGGAGCTGTTAGGAAAAGAGGAGGCTCTTTAGGAACTACGGTGGCAGAAATGGGAAGTGTACATGGATAGAGCCGAACCGGCTAGTATTACGACATAGAGAAATCAGTAGAATACTATATTTGATTTACAAGAACACGGAATAATTGAAGGTTGAGTTATACAAACTAGAACATAGTCTTCACCTAGAATAAACGTTAGTTGATGATACAGTGCACACATTAGTTGATGATACAGTGCACACATTAGTTGATGATACAGTGCACACATTAGTTGATGATACAGTGCACACATTAGTTGATGCAGACGATCGAATGTACCAAGCAATGACCAAAACACAGGCAGGACAAGCGTTACAGATAATATATGTAAAGGGTACGGCGGGCATACCAAGCACACGACAAGAAAGTGAATAATTTATGCCAAGGAAGCTTGGTAAGCCGACGAAATCAAGAAGTAGAAGTTGAGCGGCAACCTATGCGCATTTAATGACAACCTTATTCAGCACGGAATATAGGTTAGTTTCGAATGATTTAACCGATAGATTTGTAGCTTCCAAGACGAATATACAGAAGTGGTTAATTAGAATAATTAAGTTAAGGGTTACTACAGCGGGTAGTGACGAAATTGCACCAAAACAGGAATCCAAGTGAAGACGTTTACAACCAAGATTGTACGAAGAGTGCTATATATGGGTTTCGTCGACAAAATAAGTTACGGGAGTGTACATAGAGCAATAAGTAAGCACCAGTGAGCTTCCTTAGGATCATATAAGGGTGTTTTCGTACGTAACATGAGCGGTGCAAGTGGTACATTATTAAATTATGCATGTGTGATGTGAGAACGTATACGATGTAACAGAACCTCCAGGTAAAACAGGTAAATGGGGAAGCTTAGGAGAACGCTCAGGGTGCGTTGTTTGTTGGAGAGCATTTTAGGAGCGCAATAGTTGACGACATACCATATATGACAGGGAACATAATTCGACGACCGCAAGGGCACATGACGAAACACGACGAGCAGAGGAAACGAAGTAAGAAAAGCAAGAAGAGAATTCAGGAGCTTTCTATGGAGTAAGAGACGGTGCACCGAAAGTAGGTTTGATGCCACATCGGAGTAGGAGCAGACTACAAAGGTTTTAAGAGATGTTCCGACAAGCGGGACGTACCTCAGCAAGGGATTTATTCGAAGGAAGAGCAAGACATCAGACCGTTGGATGGTGAGTCGAGACTCATCTACCACTCTGTGGGTGAAGTTGAAGTAGTCGAGAATGGGCTAACTGTTCCACGAGGACAATCGTCGAGGCTTAATGTGTTAGAGGGATGGACTCTAGAATTGAAACGGGTATTTATACTCAATTCTTTCCGAGTTCGTTCGCACACATTTCAAGATCTCCGTTGAAACACACTTCCTCCACCATGTCCAACCTACGCCAAAGTCATAGACAGCAACATCTAAACCCTGAACGTCGGTACAAAGCCCCGCCAATCTAATCAAGACCGCACCAGCCAAGAATCAGAGCAGGATCCGGAGGGGTAACAACAGGCACGTCTAGAGGTTCGTCACCCGACGTTCACTAACGGTAGGCAGACATCAACAGCACACGGAGTTGAGCCTAACCACTCAGAGGAAGACGTCGTATTCGACACTGAGTCTTGAGAGTTCCCGACCTGCGTGCGGATCAGAGTCAGGCCGTTACTGGTGAATATGTAGCTAGTAACGATCTGCCTTACTCATTCTTCTTCGGGAACATCCGGCTCTACGTCCTCAGGCAACGACCAGCCACACCTACCGCCCAGCAAGCGTAGACGTCATCGCCGACTTACTACTAACAAGGGTACGGGGCGTGAACAGGTCTCCACACTGAAACTAACTCAGTTGATGGCGCAACAACAGCCTTTGTTTGACAAGTACGAACAACGTCTTTAACGTACTTCTTCTGACCGGTCCACGCTCACCCCTACTGCCAACGAGATATCGGACAGCACACACAAACGTGAGCACACGTCATCAGGGGACGATGACAAGCCGTCGTTCCATATTCAGGGCCGCACTCAACCACATCACGGATTCGGGTATGTATCACCAGGATCGGAAGGTCTTCTATCCGAGGGTGAGATCCAATCCTTGCAAGATTTTGCGCGTGAACAAGTGTTAGCGAAGCAGAAATAAGTGGACTCCACAATTACAAATCGAACAGATCTGCTCGCATGAGACGCAAGCCACAGTCGACCCCGCGTTTCGCAAGCTGGCCAAGGGCCACAGTAAGAATATGCACACCCCCATCATGGAACAAATGACGCAGCTCATGGAAAACCATAGGCGGGCACGCGAGCGGTGCCAAACGGACGCAGACTTTCAACAGAACTCATTAAAATCAACTTATTAAAATCTGTATGTACATTTAGTGACTTTCCCATGTAGGCCATGTACATTTAGAGTATTTCCTCATTTAGCTGGCAAGGCGGTACGAACTCCTTGACTGGGAACGACGGAAGTATTGCCTATTCGATACGGAACCAAGATTATCGACGGATCACTTGAACTGATGAATTTACCTGCAGGAATGGACATCATAGTGGGGCAATATTGAAAGGTTTGGGACTATACATAGGCGGTATCCAATCGCCTCTCACACCGATAAATCCTACAGAACTTGATGAGCTCATCGAACCTATCCCACGCCGACAAGCACCGAACACGACAGAGCCTGCCGACGCACGCCAACGGCTCGCAACGCGTTGATTGCCGATAACGCGAGATGTCGTTTGGCAGGGAGTGAAGTTACCACCCCAGTCAAACGTAAACAGGCTATGCACATGCGTAGGTCTACGAGCAATTTTGAATACGACCGATGGCTGCCCTACGTAGACGAGCAAGTGCAGACGTGGTTGGCGGATTTGGTAATAACGAAACGTACGACACCGACAACAGTGAACCTCCCTTTTCTAGCGGTTCCGATGTTCGATGTGGAAGGAAACGTGAAGAAGGTGAGGGTATGTTTAGACATGTGCGCCGTCAAATTTGATTCCAAAGGTCAACGAACTTATCTCCCCACTAAAGAGTAAAAAGTACTACACAATTTTGGACATCTCTGCAGCATACCACAGGCTGCCGATACATCCAGATTCACAATACTTATTTAGTTTCACAGACGAGCGTTCTCAGTACTCGTTTACATCAGCACCGTTTGGACTCCATGTTCTCACACAACAGTTCCAACGTACATTGAGCACGATACTCGACGGCATACCGGTCCATCACTATATCGACGACATAGTTATTGCTAGCGACGACTATGACGAACATATTAGGACGGTGCAGAAGGTGATCCAACGCTTGATATACTATAGCATTAAGCTCAATCCCGCTGAGTGCCACTTTGCTATCCCCGGAAGTTATGATCATAGGGAAAAAGGTATCCGCGCAAGGCATCGACATTGAGCATGAGAAATAGGCAAAGCTAATCGACTGGTCTACCCCACTATGGTACAAGGACATCGCTTCCGCCTTAGGGTTGACGAACTACCTCCATGAGCATCTCCCAACTTCGCAAACACAGTCGCACCCTTGTGCAAATTTTGCAAGCTCAAACCTAATGAGTTGATCGGCGATCGCTGGGAGGAACGACATGCGCAGGCGTGGTAGGCGATAAAAGATACAGTTGTTTATACAGTCGCATTGCACTTTCCGGTCGACGATATACCATTGAACTTAGAAACAGACGCTAGCGATTACGGTTTGGGAAGAGTATTATTCCACTGGGTCATCGGAAAGAAAGACTACTTGATGTTCTTTAGTAAGAGACTGAACCATGCGCAGCAGAACTACGCTACACCAATGAAGGAGTTATTAGCTTTGGTGTATGGGCTTACACATTTCAGGGAGCACCTGGATGGGCAACGGTTTGCAGCCTTCACAGATCACAAGGCCCTGGTGTATATGAACACGCAGCTTAAACTTAATCCGATGCTCCAGAGATGGCACCACATCATGGCACCGTTCAACTTCACCATATCACATATACCAGGGGAAGCAAACGTGCCACCAGACATGTTGAGCAGAGTGCACGAGGGTACAGCGGAGCGAGACGAACCTAAAACATTGTATACAGATTGTTGGCAATTATTTCCTAGTTACTTTAAACAAGCTCAGAAACACTTCGGTCCGAATGACATAGATGTATTTGTGGACCCGACTAACGCTCAACTACCTCGATTTTGGATGAAGGAGGACGGGGAAGGCGCCTTTGCCCACGACTGTTCGACGGTAGACGGGTGGATAAATCCACCATGGGGGAAGATACCTAGAATGTTGTGCAAGATAAGAGCCCACAGTGCAAGTGCAACCGTATGCTTACCTTGGGTTACGAGAGCGCCGTGGTTTGACTTGTTGAAGTAGTTGCTACAGTCAGAACCAGTGCTGGTTCCACGTACGCCACATACGTTCATAAAGTATGCTAAGTACGCATGTGTTAAGACACCATGGGGGGCACACGGTGATCGCACGAGCGGGTCCACCAACCGGTTACAAACTAGAGCCACTCTTTTCACAACGACTAGGTGTTTAGATACAGCATGGGAAATATCGGTGGCAATGTCAGAGGCAGAGGGTACACCGGAAGAACGACAGCGCCGTACACAACTCACGCAAGCTTACCACGAACAAGGC